TAGAGAGTTGAAAGATTTTGTAGGTTTTGACGATATTGTATAATGATGCTTGTACCTTACATGTAAGACTCTTTTTCAGGATCAAATCAGGGTGGAAACAATTTGACTTTAAAAGGATGGCCGCTCACAGTAAGTTTTTGATGGCTGGATAATTTTCTGTTTGTTTCTTAGCCTTTGTTAGAAAATTTCTTATGTCTATTTGAACCATTTCTTTTCTTGAGTTTCTGGCCCTGTATTAAAACAATGGTAATAGATGCGCTAAATGCATCAAAATGACATTGTTTCTGAATTTGGAAACTATATTAGTTCATTTGTTGTCCATCTTTGAAGTTTAGAATCTCGAAGCGGCCAATGTTCGTTTAAATTTAAAATCTCTATCGTCTATTTGGTTGCATTTCCAAAGCTTAGAGTATCACCCATTAATACTCTACAACTGTTTTTCTCCTTGTTAGGGTTTGGAGCAGCTTCGCTCTGGACTTCTTCAGCAACAGAAACCTTTCATACAAGCTCCCCAGCCCTTTCATCAGCTTCAGATGTTGACACCACAACACCAGCAACTTATGCTTGCTCAGCAAAATATGACATCACCGTCTGCTACCAACGATGAAAGTAGAAGACTAAGAATGCTATTGAATCGCGGTCCTGGGAAGGATGGCCTTGCAAATTCAGTTGGTGACGTGGTACCAAATATAGGATCACCTCTTCAAGCTGGTGGCCCTATTTTGTCTCGTGGAGATCCAGATATGCTGATTAAGGTGCTCCAATCTCTGTCCATTTCACTTGTAATTGGAATTGTTATGGTGGCGGAGTTTACCCCCTCTGTACTTCGACATATTATCAAACAGTTCATTCTCTTTGGCTTCTGAGAGTGTTTGTTTGTTTGTAGTTAAAAATGGCTCAACTTCAGCAGCAACAAAACAGCAATCCCCAACAGCAACAGCAACAGCTTCAACAGCACGCTCTTTCTAATCAGCAGTCACAAAATTCAAATCTCAATCCCCATCAGCAAGATAAAATGGGGGGTGCTGGCAGCATCACTATGGATGGTAGCATGTCGAATTCTTTTCGAGGAAATGATCAGGTTTGTCTGTCCTTTTATGGTTATTTATTATGAACTTTTTCTTGGTCAATTAACTCAGGCTCGTATTGCTTATCAAACTTACAACCTTGTAGAATAGTAATTGTTCAATTTTTTATTTACACATTGTCGAGAATTCTTGGGGAAGCTCCTTAAACAGTTTTGCCTATGCAATTTAAGGTTTCAAAAAACCAGCCAGGGAGAAAGAGAAAGCAGCCAGTGTCATCTTCAGGGCCTGCCAATAGCACAGGAACAGCAAACACAGCTGGGCCTTCCCCGAGTTCAGCCCCTTCAACTCCCTCAACTCACACTCCTGGAGATGTAATCTCAATGCCTGCCTTGCCCCGTAGTGGTAGCTCCTCCAAGCCTCTGATGATGTTTGGCGCTGATGGTACTGGTACTCTTACATCACCATCACATCAGTTGGTGAGTGATTTCTTCATCTTCTTGTATTAGAAGGAATTGGCAATTCCTTGCACGGATTCTCATTGGGATTCCATTTTGGCAGTGGGATGATAAAGATCTTGAATTGCAGGCTGATATGGATCGATTTGTAGAGGATGGGTCTCTTGATGATAATGTCGAGTCTTTTTTATCCCCTGATGATGTGGATCATAGAGATGCTGTTGGTCGATGTATGGATGTCAGCAAAGGTGCGGTGGGTGCCATGTTGAATGAATTCTTTGTTTAACATTATCCTGAATGTAGTATCTGCCAGTATTTTCTCACCTACAATGCAACTCTTTTGTATGTTCTTGAATATTAGATATTTACATACATAAAAACCGGGACAGTGCAAGTCATCGGTATTGAATCACAAGTCTCAATTAATGATCTTTGTCATTTTTCTTTTGTCAATTTTATCTCGCATATATAATTGTGTTGTCCACAAACACACAAACAATGTCAATACTCATTCTTCTTATCTTCGTAAACATTCAAAAGAGAGAATGTAGATGTAACTTATCATAGGAAATAAATATCATAAGGTCAACTAATAAAAAATCTGTCAACCAATTTTTCGGCAACCTTACTTTTTAACTACATCTTTTTGGTCGTGTACTTGGTTTCAGGGAATTGCATTTGTAAGTGTTATTTTGTTCATCATAGTTATTTTTTTTTAAAATAATTTCTTTTTTAAATAATTAAAATGAGTAAACCTGGTTGTTTGCAGCTACTATTGTTTACTTTGAGGGCTCAGAATTTGAATTTGACTGCAGGGTTCACATTTACAGAAGTAAACTCTATTAAAGCAAGCGCAAGCAAGGTTACAAGCTGTCACTTCTCATCAGATGGAAAATTTCTTGCTAGTGGGGGCCATGATAAAAAGGTGAGTGAATAAATGTTGAAATTGCTAATAACTTCTGTGGGAGGATTCAGAACTGCTGCTACATATTGGCTAATTGATTCTTCCCGAACATTAACATGTGAAATTGTCTGTTTAGTTTACTTCTTAAAAGCTATAACGTTTACTTTGTTGGTTGATGCTTGTACTTATTTAGAGTGTTCTTGACATGTGTATTATGCAGGCTGTATTGTGGTACACAGATACATTAAAGCCAAAAAGTACGCTAGAAGAACATTCAGCTTTGATAACTGATGTTCGTTTTAGTCCGAGCATGCCACGTCTTGCAACGTCTTCATTTGACAAGACTGTCAGGGTTTGGGATGCCGACAATGTTAGTGAAAAATTCTTCTGTCCTTGTCATCTACTTAGCTTATACTCTGATTTTAACCTATTGATTCGAGATTTGAAGACTTGTTTGAGTAATCAAACTAAGTATACATACTTCGAGTTTGATTTCTATCATATCTTTGCCGTTATGAGTTCATCTATATGCTTCATTGCTCGGGTGCTGAGTTTGTGCCTCGATTCCCAAAAAGATGATTTATCTTTTGTGACATGCTGTATCAAGCCTTCTTTATGTTTTTATTCTGCAGCCTGGTTATTCTCTCCGTACCTTTATGGGACATACGGCCTCTGTTATGTCATTAGATTTCCACCCAAATAAAGACGACCTCATCTGTTCTTGTGATGGGGATGGTCAGATACGCTACTGGAGTATTAACAAAGGCAGCTGCTCATGCGTGTCTAAGGTAGAATCTTGTCTTCTGGGATGCAGGAAGTTGATGGGGGTGGGGTAGTGGTGGTTTTCATATTATATACGTTTTGGTCATTCTGATATGCTTGAACGTATTAGGGTGGTACGGCACAAATGAGATTTCAACCCCGTCTTGGAAGATTTCTTGCTGCAGCCGCAGAGAATGTTGTATCTATACTGGATGTTGAGACTCAGAATTGTCGGCATTCTTTACAGGTCAGTCTAACATTTTGTCTCACTATAATTTTTCTTTCATAGTTGTAATTTAAACGGATCATGTAATATTTTCATGTGAATTCTCAACTGCATTACTTGGAATTTGGATTTGAATGCAGGGGCATACTAAGCCTATCCATTCTGTGTGTTGGGATCCTTCTGGCGAATTCCTTGCATCTGTCAGCGAGGACTCTGTAAGAGTTTGGACACTTGGAGCGGGAGGCGAAGGGGAATGTGTTCATGAGTTAAGCTGCAACGGAAATAAATTTCATTCATGCGTTTTCCATCCTACATATACTTCACTGCTGGTCATTGGCTGTTATCAGGCAAGTCAATTCTGCATTATTGTTATTATATATTGTTCTTTACATTTTTGCTTGGAGGTCACCATTCACTTAAACCGTTGGGATGTGTGTTCCCATTTTACCACCTGGAAAAATGATCCTGTACTGATAGTTTTATCTGGGTAAAATGCAGTCACTGGAGTTATGGAACATGACAGAGAACAAGACAATGACTCTATCGGCACATGATGGACTTATTGCTGCCTTGTCTGTGTCAACTGTTACGGGTTTGGTTGCTTCGGCTAGTCACGATAAGTTTGTCAAGCTCTGGAAGTGAAATGGTCACTGTGATTAACTGAACTTCACAGATTAGGAATAGGTTTCAGCCAGTCTTGGTCAACGCTTGTAGTTTATGTCTTTGGTTGCTCGATTGATCTTCATCTTTTGCTTTTTTGGATATCCAAGCGTCTCCACAGGACCCCCAGAAACCGTCCGTGTAAAATTATTGTTGTATTTGTTTGCTTATTACTGTAACAGTAAAAACTGGGAGATCTCTCAATTGCTTCATGCCTGCTCTTGTAACGTATTCGGACGGTAAGATAGAAATTTTATCATTCTCATCGTGTTTCATTTGGGAAAATGATAAATCACGTACTTTTTCCTCTTGCTACACACCCACCGTTGGTTCTGGGCGTAGGATCGAACGAAAACACGGGATGTAATTAAACAGGGGTGTGCAAGTGGAGAAAGTGGGTGTGATTATCGTGTCCCGTTTCATTTTTGTTCACCCGAGTCTCTTTGAGATGCTTCTTTTGTCATCAAGGTCCAGTCTCGCAGTTTTAACGTGCAGCATGAGGGTTGATCGGCTTGAAAGGGGGAAATTGTTTGGTGTAACGGTAACTTCACGTGGCATGTTGATGGTAACTTTGCAGTCGGTCGCGGATAAAACCAAAACAAGTTTGGAAGAATGGATTCTCTAAAGTTCAACATAGACCAACGGAATTATTTCTACATTATTTCAGTATAAAATTTGGAATATTTACATCATAAGTTACAAGTTTGGAAGAATGGATTCTCTAAAGTTCAACACAGACGAACATAATTATTTCTACATTATTTCAGTATAAAATTTGGAATATTTAGATCAAAAGTTTGGATGATGGCTTTTGTAAAGTTTAAAGTCGTGAATTGCCTAATTTTCAATTTGTTGTGTTTCGTGTTCACTTTCTATCTTCTCATTAGTTTAGAATAGAAGTATCGTTTGTAATTAAAAAAAAAATGTTATCTAATTGAGTCATAAAGCATTTAAAAAATAATTTTCAAGTGGACTTCGGCGTCAACTCCTCCACTAAACATGTAAATATTTAGAAAGTGGAAAGATGATCAAGGAAAAGAGTTGAGGAATAGAGAAAGAAAGCTTTTGCTCCAAAGAGAACATCCACAACTCCTTCAGCCTCTGATGATGTCTGGTGCTGATGCTGCTCTTTCATCACTCTCAGTTCAGTTGGTGAGTAATCTCTTCATCTTCTTGGTATCACAAGGAATTGATGATTTTGGTAATGGGATGATAAACATGTTCGATTGCAGACGGATATGGATCAATTTGCAGACGATGCAGAAGATGATGAACTTCTTGATGATGCACAATCTACAGGTGCATTGGTGAATACTTTGTTATGTAGTTGTTTTGAAACATGGTGGACAATTCTTTTTTCTATGGACCCGTTTGATAACTATTTCGGTTTTATTTTGTGCGCTAGCGATAGAGGATGTATACAGTAGAAAAATTGTTCCATATACATTTCTTCCACATTCCACCCACCGTTCATCATCTTTCCCTTCTCCCGTGTATTTCCCTCAATCTCTAACAAAGACAACTGAAAGCTAAAAACTAAAAATGAAATGGTTACCAGACGGGGCTCTAAATTAAACATGGATGGGTGTTTTGAGACTTGGAATTTCGATATGACTTTAGGGTTCACATTTACGGAAAAAAACTCTGCTAGAGCAAGTGCAAGCAAGGTTGTGAGTTGCCACATCTCATCAGATGGAAAAGTTCTTGCTAGTGGTGGCCTTGATAAGAAGGTGAGCGAGTGATGATTTCCTAAGTTCCAATAGCTTCTGTGAGGAGAATTCAATGCTGCTATTCTTATATATATATATCTGAACATAGATGTGGAATTGCTTGATATCTGTGTGTTGCAGGCCGTACTGTGGTACACAGATAGTTTAACGCCAAAAGCTGTTCTCGGAGAACATTCATTGTTGATAACTGATGTTCGTTTCAGCCCGAGCATGCCACGTCTTGCAACATCTTCATTCGACAAAACTGTCAAGATCTGGGATGCTGACAATGTTAGTGGAAACATTCTTCTGTCCCGCGGATCATATATCTTCTGTAATCTCGCCTTGTAAAACTTTTTGTATGTCTTAAATCTGCAGCCTGTTTCATTTTGCACCTTTATGGGACATTCTGCTCCTGTCCTGTCAGTAGATTTTCACCCAAACAATGATGACCTTATCTGTTCGTGTGATGCGAGTGGTGAGATACGGTACTGGAGAATTAACAATGGCTTCTGTGCAAGCGTGTTTAAGGTAGTACAGAAGTTGAGTGGGGTGAAGTAGTGGTGTTTTTATTAGATTGTTCACTGTTCGGTATATTCATTATTAATAAGTTTGAACATATTAGGGTGGTAAGAGGCAGGTGAGATTTCAACCCTGTCTTGGAAGATTTCTTGCTACAGCTGCAGAGAATGTTGTACATGTACTGGATGTGGAGACACAAGCTTGTCGGCATTCATTACAGGTCCACTTTACATTTACGTTCATCATAATATTCTGTGTTATCATTCTGAGAGTTATGCTATCATGTAACGCTACGTTGACATTGTTTGTGCACGCGACATTATCTTTTGAGTTATGTATACTCAACATTGATGAGCCTTTGGGTCCTTTATAAGTCCTGGAACTGCAATTGCATGTTGGGACGCTTGTTTCACTGGGAAATTGTGGTTCTTGTAGGATTAGGTACTTAGCAATGTTCTAAAACCAAGTGTTGTATGCAGGGGCATACTAAGCCTATCCATTCTGTGTGCTGGGATCCTTCTGGTGAGTTTCTCGCATCTGTCAGTGACGACTCTGTTAGAGTTTGGGCACTTGGAGCAGGAGGGGAAGGCGAATGCGTTCATGAGTTGAGCTGCAACGGAAGTAAATTTCAATCGTGTGTTTTCCATCATACATATACTTCACTGCTTGTCATTGGCTGTTATCAGGCAAGTAAATTCTCCATCATTGTGCTTATGTAATGTTTGTTACATTTTTTGCTTGGAGACCACTACTCTCTTAAGCCGTTCGGATATTTGTTCCCATTTTACACGAGAGAAACAATCCTTTACTGGTACCAGTGTTGCTGCAAGATATCATATTTTTATTTTTATTTGGGGAAAATAATTGCAGACACTGGAGTTATGGAACATGACAGAGAACAAGGTAATGACTCTACCAGCACATGAAGGACTCATTGCTTCTTTGGCGGTGTCAAATGTTACAGGTTTGATTGCTTCGGCTGGTCACGATAAGTTTGTCAAAATCTGGAAGTGAAATGGTTGTTACTCTGATCAAAGAACTTTGACTGACTTGTATTATTATCGTTGTTGTTGTATTCCTGTTACTATATAACAACATAAGGTTAATTAAACATCTATTTTGATGCTTCATGGACTTGTTGTAACGCTTCAAATACAGATACTTTTATGCTTCCGTTTTCCTTTGGTTGTATACAAAAATCTGAAACCAAAACAGATAATGTAATGTTAAATTCCAGGGAGTTCTAAAATTTGGTTAATTTGGAGCCTGGAACCAGATATTCGCCGAGCAAGAGTTTTGATCATCGATTAGCTAACGAACAAAAAAGGTGTTCAATCTTTGTAATTTACTAGTTCAATGACAAACCCCCATTGAATTAGATTTAGAAGATACAAATCCAAAGCCTTGCATGGTTAATGTGGAGGGTACCCAGTTGCTCCCTTGTATGAGAGCCTTGGCCTCAGAGACTCCTCCAACTTTGAATTGTTGGAAGGTTCAGAGAACTAGTCTGGCCTAGAAAACGTTCGGTAATAAATTTGCTTGTATTTCCCATTCCCGGGAAATGTTCTGTTGACAGTTAGACGAAGAATTATATATGTTGTCAGATTCAAATCTAGAACATACACTTTGATAACAACCATTTAACTTTTTTTTGTAACTGAAAATACAATTAGACCATGTCAATCAATTGACTTAAACTTTGATGACCAAAAACTAAACAAAAGTTAACAATCACTAATGATGAGCATCAAACGATGACGCGTTGAGAGACAGCGATCCTTTCGTTAGGAGCATTTCCGGATCCAGCCAAGGGTACCATCGTGAAGCCACCTAAGGAGTTAACAAATGAAAAACATCCCCAAATTAGTTTGGTTTTTTATGGATTTTGTTAGGTTTTCTTTTTCAGAGGAAGAAATGGTCATGGACTCGCAATGCAAGTTTTTGCGTTTGCTGGAATTAGCACTTAGAGTTAGAAGGTACTCTCAGCTCTCTACACTTTGTATCTGCCATTTCTTTATAGTAACCATGAAATATTGAATGTGATAAATTTGGAAAGTAAAAAGGTTTTTTTTGGTTTGAAACATACCCTTTAATTAATGTACAAAGCATATCTAGCAACTCTTGTCCACTTTCTGAAATCAAAAGCATAAACCTAACAAACTGATCAATTAGTTTATAACTGTAAATCTTTGGTCATTGAACGCATGCATCGAAAAAAAATTATAGAATAAATTTTTTTCATGTGTTTTACGATACTTTATTATATCCCAATGGGACCCCTTTTTGTAATATGCTAATGTATGTGCTTTGTGCTACAAGCAACCTTCGAAGTGGACTAGGGAGTCATCATGAGGGTTCATAAAAATTCAAATTGGAGGATATTTAATCAACCAATGTGAGCGGGTGACACCATGGTAGGCTTTGATGTGTTTCAACATAGACTGCCTCTATATTATGGCACAGTATAATATATAATTGTTATGAAGTGGACTTTGGTCCACACAAGAATCATCAAATTGCCTAGTAAGAGAAAACATTAAGTAAAAGAAAGAAGAAGAAAAGTAAAAGAATGATTTTTTTGCGCTCCCAAGTGTACATAATATTTTGTCTAAATTAATGTTTTTTTCCCTTTTTTCTTCGCATTCATATGGAAGGTTCCTTCATGATTGGTAAAGCTTTTGAATATATTGTTAGATCCTACATCGTTCAGGGGAGTGGATCCTGTTAGTCTTATATGTATATTCCCATCTCTACCTGCACAAGGCCTTTTGAGAGCTTACTGGCTTCGGGTTCTATTGAAACTTTGAAGTTAAGCGAGTTCGTGCGAGAGCAATCCTATGATGGGTGACCCATTGGGAAGTTCTCATGTGAGTTCCCAGTAACAAAACCGTGAGGGTGTGGTCGGGGCCCAAAATGGACAATATCGTGCTGCAGCGGAGTTGAGCCTGGGATGTGGTGGGGGCCCGAGCCAGGATGTAACAATTTGGTATCAGAGCCAATCCCTGGCCGGATGTGTGCCGACGAGGACGTCGGGCCTCTTAGGGGGGTGGATTGTTAGATCCCACATCGCCCAGGGGAATGGATCCTGTAAGCCTTATATGTATATTCCCATCTCTACCTAGCACGATGTCTTTTGGGAGCTCACTGGCTTCAGGTTCTATCATAACTTTGAAGTTAAGCGAGTTCATGAGAGAGCAATCCCAGGATGGGTGATCCACTGGGAAGTTCTTGTGTGAGTTCCCAGAAATAAAACCGTGAGGGCATGGTCAGGGCTCAAAGCACACAATATCGTGTTACGATGGAGTCGAGCTCGGGATGCGGTGGGAGCTCGGGCCGGGATGTGACATATATGGTTGTGAATATACCTTGATAGGATAGGCAAAGGGTTCTAAATATGGGTGCAACCCTAGCATGGCTATGAGTATGCCGACGAGGACGTCGGGCCTCTTATGGGGGTGGATTGTTAGATCCCATATCGTCCAGGGGAGTGGATCATGTAAGCCTTATATGTATATTCCCATCTCTACCTAGCATGAGGTCTTTTGGGAGCTCACTGGCTTCGGGTTCTATCGGAACTCTTAAGTTAAGCGAGTTCGTGCGAGAGCAATCCCAGGATGGGTGACCCACTAAGAAGTTCTCGTGTGAGTTCCTAGAAACAAAACTGTGAGGGCATGGTCGGGGCTCAAAGCAGACAATATCCTGCTACGATGGAGTCGAGCTAGGGATATGGTGGAAGCTCAGGCCGGAATGTGACATATATGGTTGTGAATATACCTTGATAGGATGGGCAAAGGGTTCTAAATATGGGTGCAACACTAGCATGGCTATGAGTATGTGACCAATGATGATGGTCCACATCCTAACTGAAATTTCCACCACTTTTCTTATGATCTAATGTGAAAGGCCTAATATATATTGAAGCAACAAAAAATTGCGTAGTGTCTATTTTGGTCCACTCAAATAAAGACATAGTTCCATACTGTATGAATTATGATCACGCAGGAGACATAGTAAGATGCACAAGATATCTTCATATTGCACATGTTTTGGCAACCAAATTTAAATCAAGTGATAGCCTCTCGCTCTGATCACATTTGTTTCAGTAAGAACTCTAACCAATGTCTTGGTTCTTAAAAAAGAGTTCTTGGGTTGTGGTTGCAACACTTGTTATGTCTTAATATACATGTTATAATATAAATATACAATGAAATTTTCTTTTAGGTTATATTATTCACAGATAAAATACATGGTATAATTTTTTTTTAGTATAGCGATAGCGTTAGTGAGTTAGATAGTTAGTTGTTAAGAGGAATGAAACTCGGTGAGAATGAATCCGTATTAGGATGCATAAACATTATTATTTTTTCACCACTACAATAAAACGCCATTTGCAATACATGTTATAACATGGATTAATTGATCCCTGAACAATTTGCCATATGTGTGACTACGTGAAACCTTATTACATTTGTGGGCTACACATAAATCCTAAAAATCTCTACTCCAAAATAGAAAAGGATCCTTACTGAATTCTCTTTGTGGGGATCCAGGGGATCAACCAATCATGGCCATTCATCGTATCGTGCGATTAGAATCATTTTAAATTCAAAATTCAAAATTGAATGTAAATAGTATCTAATGAAAACTGACCGCACGATATACGATAAACGGCTGTGATTGCTTGATCCTTCAAATCCCCACAAAGAGGATCCGGTGAGGATCCTTTTCCCTCCAAAACGATTCCCAACCTTAAATAATAATAAAATAATTCACATAAGTTTTACAAATTGTGAGAATTATATAGGATTGGGTATGATATTTACATATAATTTATGTGAATGCATATATTTAATACAAACGCCATCTAATTGTTGAGATGATGATTCTATTAAATACTTGTAAGTATTGTAGCAAAATCTGTTATGTATATTTCCCAAGCCAACTATACAAAGATTTATATTTTTAAATTTATACTTGAGTTTAGAAAAGGTGGCAGATTTGAGTTTTTTGGTTTTCTCTTCTAATGCGTAAACTAATTATATTTTTGGACTTGTATTCTTATTTTTTTAATTTCAACATTTGAGTTATTAAGTTAGACATTGGAGTCATATTTTTAGTTTTGACAATTTGTGTGGCTAGTTCCTTAGACAATAGAAATTTCAGCGTCATTTATCTCGTCATCTACAATTTGGTTGGATTTTTCTTGTTGTAGAGCTCTACTTTGGCCTCAAATTCATATTGAAATCCGAATTTGAGATTCACTTTGGTCTAAGATTTATACATAAGTCTTAAGTTTGTGATGCGTTGAATATGCTTGAATTTATTCATTTAAATGGTTAAATGAGTCCAAATTTTTTCATTACATTACAAATGGCCTCCCTTGTCAGCAAATTGAGTTGTTTTTTTTTCTTTTTTTTTTTTGTTCAAAGGAATTGAGTTGTTAATCTAGTAAACAAGAGGGAGATATCAATGTCATATAATTGTGACATTAAATGACCCAGAACCCTAACAAAAAGTGAACGCACTGAGGAACAATTAGGTTCCATTATTTAGTTCACAGCTCAAGGATTTTCAAGAATAAGATTCCTTGATTGATTGATCTAGTGGCTAAATCTTAATTTAGCCCACAATTTGGATGAACTTTCTAATATGTATTCCTATAAATGTAGTGAGCTCGAGAGCACATGGTGGTTGGACCGACTTGGAAACCAAATTCATTGTGTCAATTAGTCCTCAATAGAACAATTTATGTTACATACACTGTACCATGTGTAGCTTGCCGACTTGTCGAATGTCGAGTCATGCATGCATGTATAGTTCTTGGTGCATGTCTAATCATCTGAATTCAGTTTTTGTGGTTTAATTTGTGGCTTCTGATTCTACTAGGCATTTTCAATCTATTCATACATATCATTTCCAACTTATAGTACGTACATCACATTAAACTCACTAATTATTGTCAATGTTTCCAAAAGAATAAAGCTTTGTAGATCTGGCAATAAGAGTAAAGTTTTGCTGAATTAGACTCTGATGTTTGAATTGGACTTGTGAGATTTGTTTAGAAAAAACGATGATGACTATTAAACTCACTGTTGAAATCATTATTAAAGTATTTTATTAGAGTTTTAGTTTTAGGAACGCTTATGGTATTTTGTTAATTGATGAAATCTTTTCCTATTTGGAAGTATAGGACGTTTAGTTTGTTAGCTTTCGTATTATCAATAAAAATACTTCGAAGTTTTTTTGTGTGTGGTTTTGGGGGTTCTACATATCTTATTCTGTTCATAAGTATAGTTTCCAACTTATAGTACACCGCATTAAACTCACCAATAATTTTCAATATTTCCAAAAGAAATTTGTAAATAAAGAATAATATGTGATAATGTGAGGATAAAGTCTAATATCGATGAGGATCAAACCATGTAAAGAGTTATAAAGAGTTGAATTACTTTTCATATTGTCAATTAATTATGATGAAACTTCATCTTTTTTTCAGAACAGAAATGAGGAGCCACATCCTAGTTACAAGTTAGTACATAAGAACAAAATAAGCATTGATTGTAAAATGTGGTTTTATTTTTTAATTATTGTACTGAGGCATTTGTAAATGATAGACTTTACTTTAAATTGAATTTCGACCAATATTTCTTGGACAACCCCATATCTTTTATATGAGAATTTGCACCCAGCCCTACGCCCACTAGTACAAAAAAGGCTTTGCACGACGCAGGACCTTCGTCGCGCAAAGTCAAAAAACGTCGTGCAAAAATTAGCCCAACGGACGTTCGTCGCGCATTCACCGTTGCGCTAAGTGCGTGAAAGCAGGGTTTGCGCGACGAAAAAGTGATCTACGTTGCGCAAAACCACTTTGCGCGACGAATTTCCTGCGTCGCGCAAAACCACTTTGCGCAACCTAGGTCCTGTGTCGCGCAAAACAACTTTGCGCAACTAAGAACCTGGGTCGCGCAAAGTGGTTTTGCGCAACGCAGATCACTTCTTCGTCGCGCAAAAAAGGCTTTGCACGACGCAGGACCTTCGTCGCGCAAAGTCAAAAAACGGCGTGCAAAAATTAGCCCAACGGACGTTCGTCGCGCATTCATCGTTGCGCTAAGTGCGTGAAAGCAGGGTTTGCGCGACGAAGAAGTGATCTACGTTGCGCAAAACCACTTTGCGCGACGAATTTCCTGCGTCGCGCAAAACCACTTTGCGCAACCTAGGTCCTGTGTCGCGCAAAACAACTTTGCGCAACTAATAACCTGGGTCGCGCAAAGTGGTTTTGCGCAACGCAGATCACTTCTTCGTCGCGCAAACCTTTTTTTTTTTTTGGCCAAAGAATTTTTTTTATTTAATTTTTAATAAATATTGTAATGAAATTCTAAACAATAATTATTAAACCAAGAAAAAATATTTAATTATAAAATATATAAAAATGTACACACAAGATGTCCAAAAACAAAAAAAAAACTACTAGTCTTCTAGGATACATCATGCTACTGGGTATCAGCTGGATGAAGTGGCTGGGAAGTTGAAGGTGGAGCAACATCACGTGTTGGCATCGGGATCTGGAGGCCGGACATCGCTAAAGCTTGTAGAATCATACTCATCCTCTCGTCCTGGGTCCTAATGTGCTCGCCCTGGGCCACAAGCTGACCTTTTAGGGTTGTCACTTCCTCCTTCAAGGCATTGACCTCTCTTGTGGACGATGTGGAAGAGGAGGCACCCGTCTCAGGAACCCCTGCCTTCCCCATACATCGAACAACCTTGCCATAACGACGACCCAACTTCTGATCCAAGACCTCAGTCACGATCTGAATATCTGCATCATCGGGTACATTGACTTCGTCGATCGGGGTCTCCGGGGGAAGCTGGGATGTTGCTTCTTGGAGAACAGCAGTGGACTTTTCCACCATAACATCCTGTAATAATAAAGAAAAAACATATAATGTTCAATAACAAAATATAAATAATATTTGAACGATTCGTAAAAATAAGAATAATAAGAATTACATATACTTACATGAAGCTCCTTAGCGGTCTCATTGCCGGGTCGAACGTAAACGTCATTGAACAAGTCAATCTGTGGGAACTTAGAACCCTCCTAAAAAAAAATCATTAAGTAAATTTTATTAGTCAATAATAAAGAATAAAATGTATAAAATTTAAAAATTAATATACTTTTACCTGACGTCGTGCCTCAAGCCTATACGAAAAGGGCTTCGAACCGGAATGGTGGAGAAGTGTCTTTGAGTCCCGAGCTTTCTTGCCAGCAATAGATTTCTTCTGTTAAACATACAATATACATGTTAGTGCGATTATTTGAATGAAATTATTAAAAAAAGCTTAAAAAGATAACAAAAACAGTAAATTATTATTAAAGTATTATGTACATACCACAAATTTTGGATCCATAAAATGTTTACAGAGCCACTCCCAATCCTCTGGCCGGTCCCTCAACTCGTTTGGGCAACCCTCTAGGCGAGCAATCTCCGGATCATTCCATAGCTGAAAATGCGTGTGAAAAGCGCTCTTCCAATCTTTGTACCGGTTTGCTAAGGTCCCCTCTAAGTAGGCACTAACCTCAGGGGATAAGTCCTTAACATCAAAATTGACCTACAAATATGAAAAACAATAAAATAATATTAAGAAATTTAATAATATTAAGATAATATACTTTGGTTTATAATATTTGTAAACAAAATTAAAAAAAAAAATGATAAGGGCTAAAAATTAATTTACTAACCGACAACTTCTCTCGCACCAGTTTCTTCGTCTCCTCGGGAATTTGTGCCCAAGACTCCCACCGCATAGGACAACAATTCCGAATAACATAACCACAGCTAGTAACAACGCTGCTATGCTGCTGTGAGGTAGCCGCTCCACGATGTTGCGAGTCATATGCAATCTTGATCAAGGAGGCGGACATACGTACAGCCTGTGCCTCCTTTAGCATTCGATTAGGCCCCCTGGTGTTTTTTTTAGCTGCCCAAAAAAACTTAAATGGTAAAAAGCTTAAATTTGTACAAAAAATTAGGCAAAACCTCCCCTAATAGTATATCATTTCCCAAAACCTTAAAACAGTAATTCACAACCCGCAACACATTTTCACAATCCAACAAATTTTCACAATCATAAAATAATAGTTTTAAAATAGAAAAAAAAATACAATGTAGTGAGAATTAGAAAAAAAACTACCTGGTTGGGAGGCCCCACCATCGACTCCGGAGGAGAAGGAAGCGTGATCACCAGGCTCTAGCTCGCGGCGGCGACGGTGAGGCCGCCGTGCACTGAGAGGTTGAACCGACACTGATGATGTTGATGATACGGGCACCTGAGACGCCGTAGGAGTAGCCTCAGTAAGGGGTGTAGGCTCCCCAATCAATGGAGCACTCACGCCTGGAGCACTCACACTCCAACGACGAGTGATCAACTGCGACATCTATACACTTTTTGAACCATAAAAAATATGACATTAGAAACTAATCCTTTCTTGCATTTGAAACTAATAAATTAGCAACCAAAGTAATATAAGTAATTAGAGCAATAATATCAATACAAGATTATTTAAAAAACCAATGGTTCAAGAAACTAAACAAGCAGCTTCATACTTGGAACATTGATATGCGAGAAAAGAATTACAAAAGTTCAACTTCAGTCCAAAACCACATAAAAACCGTTGGCGAGAAAGCATTGGCAAAAAACTAGCAAGGTTAAGTCACACACTTTCTGATATTACTTAAGTCAACAATTTTCAGAGAAGATTGAAACAGATGAAAGTAAGCACATAAAGCTTTTCTCCTTCTCCTAATCCTTGTATCATTAAAGTTGTGCAATTATATATGCTTAATTTTTGCTTTTGAATTTAATGATCCTCAGATTCTACAATTGGTTCAACTATTCATGATTAATTCAAGTAAACCAGACAAATTCATGATTACTGAGATACCTTTTTCTAAATTTTCAATTCATCGTAAGATTTTAGTTCAAATTGCAATTTTGCTACCACTATACCTCTAAAGCTCGAAAATTCCAACAAAACATAAATCTTGATTTCACAAGAGAATCAAGCATTTCATCTGAATCTTCTAAAACCATTGACAATTCACATACAACACAAAAAACCCATGATTGATCGAAACTAACATCCTGAAAAACACGATCATTAGCTCACGATTTTGAATGTTTGGTGAAAGAATGAAAAGCAAGAGCATGGTTTTCTGTAACAGTTCAACTAGTTCGAGAAATCGTATTAAAGCTAAGGTCTTTAAGTAAAGATTGTATACCAGTTGCAAGAATTGAAGGAGCAGAAGAAGAAGAAACTCACCCGAATCCGAAACCGAGCAATCGAGCGGATCGAATCCAAGAAATCTGAGAGACCCTTTAGTGTTTGTGCTGAAAATTGAGTCAACAAATCGGATTTTAACCAAACCACTAGAGCTTGTTACTTGAATTGGATCAGTGAGTGTCCACGCCGGAAAATGATTATAATTAAAGTGATTATAATTAAAGTGATTATAATTAAAGGGAAAATTTAAAAAAAAAAAGCTTAATTTTTACATTTGCACCGCCAGAAAATCAAGTGGGAAAGAGGGAAAGAGGGAAAGAAAAAGGGAAAAAGGGAAGAAGGGAAAAAGGGAAAAAGGGAAAGAGGGAAAATCAAATCAAGCATCAGACAAGAGGATCATCAAACAGCCAAACCATCATTGATTATATACCAAATAGCATATATTATATACCAAATAGCATCCACTAGAAATTTTCATGATATAACCATCATTGATTATTCAACTTTTGAACGCTAAGAAAAAAAAGTTTTGATTTTGACTTGGGTGCTATATTAGATTTTGATTTTGATTTTGATTCTTTGATCGCGTATGCTATTGTGAATATCTAAGTAGAATTAGAATTGCATATGTGAAATCATATATTTGGTCAACCTACTTTGTGTGTGTGTATTATATACACATAAATTTATACGTATATATGTGTCATATAACGTAATTGATCAAAGGACCTACAATTTGTATCTTAACATTATATTCAAAACAATATAAAGCTTAGGCAAACTGAAGCTGGAAAGGGCGAGCTTAAGAAATCCCTTGAACGTTTTGGGATGGAACTGCAAGAGCTGGTATCGTTTTTCTTCTCAAGTTAACATCAATTTAATTACACAAGTCTATTTTGGGATTAAAATTAATAATAGATTCCTTAGGCATGATTTCTTTTTCCATTAAACCTGAGAGTTGGATTTGGATTTTGATTATGGTCATAAGTGTATTTTAGTATGCATCCAGTATTGATCATAATAACGGACCTAATTTGTTTAAAGTACATCATATGTATGTGACTTGCCTAAATCTTTTTGCGGTTGGAACAAACGATTGATTATATATGCTTTTTACCGGTAAATAACTATTTGTGGATTTTCAAGTCATATGGTTTTTTTTTTTTTTTTTTTTTTTTTGCCCTTTCTCTTGTCTGCTTTCCCGTTTCTTCCTTACCCCTTTCATTTTCTCGATCTCTTTTTATTATTTTATGTCTCTGAAGATTGCAATGTTTGTTTTAATGTTAAGTATCTTTTACAATTTTTTGTTATTAGAGTAATTTCATGTAGATTCCAACCACTTGGGGCGTGTTCTCCACTGAACCCTAATAAGTTTGCTTTCTTCTACAGTTGGTGTTTGTTACTATATATTTTTTTTAATATATATGATATTATCTACATAGAGGTGGGGAGTTGGCTAAGCCTCATAATGGGATAGCCATAATAATTTGGTTTGCATTTGCTTTTGGTGATAATCAAACTTAAGACCTTTCACTTACAAGTTAAGAGGAATACCACTAGACATTAATATTAAATAGCAGCGCTTGTACCATTTTGACTGATAAAAATGACACTATCTAAACATTAAAAGAAACAACTATTATATATAGGAACTAATCACTTTGAGGAGGGCTGGACTAGTTAGGGCTAAATTGGTACTATTGTAGTATCAGAAGTGGTTTTTGCACGCAAAATGGTAGATAAGTGATAGCAGTAAAATTATTTAATTAAATTAACTAATGAACATACAAATTCGACCCCAATATTCATAAAAATCTCAGTCTTTCTATCATCACAGCAGTCAAGAATTTTATTGTACCACAAACATTGAAACATAATTAAGTTCAAAAAGACCAAAATGCATAGCAAATAGGGAAGAACAATAACCAGATTAATCATTAACAAAACAGATCAAATTCGACTTTTCAACTTTTGTATGTATTTAAAGTTTGATTCACTTTACACCGAAGGAAGTTCGTGAATTCTTTTCTAATTGATTCTAAATGGAGTGCTTTCTCGGTCTTCCTTTGTTGAATGCATGGGTTGATCTTGGTGATTCCACAGGCTTACTCTTGAACTGGGCTGGAGGATTTTTTTTGGTCTCCTCCACTCGTTGATTTTCCTTTGTGCTACTCTTGAACTGGGCTGGAGGATTCTTTTTGGTCTCCTCCACTCGTTGATTTTCCTTTGTGCTACTCTTGAACTGAGCAGCAGGATTCTTTTGGTCTCCCCCGAAGGTCTGAGCTTCCTCCTTTTTTTCTGTTTCTTTGTTCAATCTCTCCAATTCGTATTGAAGAGGGTTAGAGGATAGCTCAGCATATGCAGTTGTAGCTTGTCTCCACATGCTTCAATGTATCATTTTCACTTGCCTTACTTGCTCCCCTTTGCAGAAGTGGTCCCTTCTCTGGAAGTGTATCAACCGTTGAAGATGACTACTCGAGAGCAACGCTAGGTAAGCAATCAGGGAAGGGATTCCAGGCAGTTGGTTCCAGATCGGAAGACTGACTCCAAGTGCCGGCTGATTGCTTCTTTCACTTTGCCATGCGAGTAAGAACAAGGACAAAGAAAAGGACAGGGAAAGAGCATGATATGAGATACCTTTGTTTTCGCCCTTGATGATATGAGATACCTTTGCTTTCGAAAAAAGCGGTGAATGAATCAGCACATGTATTTGTTGTGCTGCTTCCTCCTGGGTCATCTGTACTCCAGGCATCTGGTATCATCTTTGGGGAAGAAGAAATAATTGAATGTTTCGAAAGGATTTGCTGGGAGTGCGCCCTCAGAGGTGAGAAAGAGTTGGGTTTGCCTTGCCATAAAAGATGAAAGTTGACATATATAGGGATTTCCCAATAGCAAGTGGTGGTACTGTTCTTTTACCCTTGGAATAGTGACGACTCTTCGATATTTGAAGACGCCTCTTCGATAAAGCTGCACGCGTTTTCTGAAAAGCAGATAAAGCTGCACGTGTTGAACGCGTTTTCTGAAAAACCGTGTTGCGATGATGGCCTTCACGTGTTGAACGCGTTTTCTGAAAAGCCAATGGAGCGTCTTCGGTGAACGCGTTGCCTTGGCTTTTTATAGAGCTATCGATCACCGCCAACTTACACACTCTGAAGATTTCCCATTCTTGAAACTCGTCTCCGACCCTTTGAAAATCTACTCTGTCCACCCTTTCTCTTTTAACTTCTTGAAAAATGGCTAGCTCATCTAACCCATTGAACATTTGCTTAGATTTGAGTCTGAGCAATGATCCGGTTGCACCTCATCAGGGTAAGGTATGGTGCCCGTCTTTCTTATCTTTTCATGGCCCTCTTACAGATGAGGACTCTGTGATGACGGATCCAACAACGGCTACGATAGTGGCTCGGAACCTCCTCACTCCCAAAGATAGTCAGCTGCTTTCTGGACGGTCCGATGAGTTGGCCGTTCAAGAGTCCTTGGCTCTTAGCGTTCAGTGCGCTGGCTCTGTGTCCAACATGGGCCAACGCCTTCTTGCTCGCTCCCGTCAGGTTGAATCCTTGATGGCGGAGGTGGAGAGTCTTAAACAGGAGATCAAACAGCTGAAGTACGAGAACCGAAGTTTGCACGTGCTTGCCAACAATTATTCTACAGGCATGAAGAGGAAGCTTGATGAGCTTGATGACCGTCAAAGGCTTGCAGCTTTCTTCCAGAGGCACCTCTTTCCTGGGTCATCCAGCGTTCCACCAAGGTTTGGGGCCTTGAATGATCTATCTTCGGTGCCTCCCGCTCATATGCCTCCCGCTCCGATGGCTCCTGCTCCGATGCCTCCTGCTCCGATGGCTCCTGCTCCGATGCCTCCTGCGTCGAGAGTGTTGCCACGTAGTGGGGCCTCACGTACACAACCCTTGTGAAGGCTTCATCTTTTTGCCATTTTTTTTTTATTTTTTTATTTTTTTTATTTTTTTTTGTAATCACTCGGAAATCAATGAACAAGCTTTATTCACTTTATTCAATGCGCATGCTTTGTTAGATACATTTTTTTTTTCCGCACTTGTAATTCTCGAAAATAAATGAACATGCTTTGTCTTGCAGCCGGACGAAGAAATTAATTATAAATAATTGATATATTAAAGAAAGTTAATCAAATGTAACTTATTAATTAAGCTTTGTATGAAAGAGGAGATAAGTGTTTTTGGGTAATTAATTACCTTTAATCGTTGTAAAGCATGTGGAACCAAAAATAATTAATATTTGTGTAATTAAACCATATGATCAACATAAAAGAAAGAGAGAAAAATATATACCAATCCATGATAATATATAACTCAAAAATACCTTTTTGGCTTCCTCACAGAAGATGACTTGTGATATATTTTTTTTAGATATAAAAATTATTGAAAATGTGACTTTCTTCATTTCAAATTCAATTTTTTTTAGATAAACCCCACAGTAATATATTTTTCTAACAAAAACCCACAATAATATCTTTTACATATATATCATTCAATGACTTATGTTATACTTAATGAAAGTATAAAAAAACTTCAAGTGTTAGTGAATCTAATGTTTTGGTGGGAAACGCATTGTACGAAATTAGTTTCAACGATCTAACCGTCAAACTTGTTTGTATATACTTCGAGATCGTGTACGCCAAAAATTGTAAAAAACAAAGATGCAGAGATCAAGTAACGGGACAAACCTTTTCGACGGCTATAAACAAAAAAGCACAATTTAACGGTTATTTTAACTCCGATTTTGATGATTTTTTAAAGCTACACTCCTTGATCCTGTATGAATACAATGAACTAATTTGATCGTCAATTTAAAATATTTACATAAGTGGATACCACAAAATCTTATGTTATACTTAATGAAAGTTTAAAAAAACTCCTAGTGTTAGTGAATCTAATGTTTTGATGGGAAACGCATTGTACGAAATTAGTTTCAACGATCTAACCGTCAAACTTGTTTGTATATACTTCGAGATCGTGTACGCCAAAAATCGTAAAAAACAAAGATGCAGAGATCAAGTAACGGGAAAAACCTTTTCGACGGCTATAAATGAAAAAGCACAATTTAACGGTTATATTAACTCCGATTTTGATGATTTTTTAAAGCTACACTCCTTGATCCTATATGAATACAATGAACAAAGTCGATCGTCAATTTAAAATATTTACACAAGTGGATACCACAAAATCTTATGTTATACTCAATGAAAGTATAAATAAATTCCAATTGTTAGTGTATCTAATGTTTTGATCAGATACGCATTGTATAGAAATAGTTTCAACAATCTAACCGTCAAACTTGTTTGTATATACTTCGAGATCGTGTACGCCAAAAATTGTAAAAAACAAAGATGCAGAGATCAAGTAACGGGACAAACCTTTTCGACGGCTATAAACAAAAAAGCACAATTTAACGGTTATTTTAACTCCGATTTTGATGATTTTTTAAAGCTACACTCCTTGATCCTGTATGAATACAATGAACTAATTTG